CCGAGTTTACCACAGAATGCAGTGTTCGTCAGGGTTACCTTCTCTCTCTCCCTATCTATTTAATTTGGTTATGGAAACAGTTCTATCCTCGAGCGAGGGTAGCGGCATCGATTTTACCCTAAGTGGTAGACTATCTAGTCTGGAGTATGCAGATGATTTTGTACTGCTAAGTGAAGATCCAGGCAAACTTCAAAGATTTTCTGGATATTTCGATTGCTGGTGTAACCATGTTCGGTACACGTTTTGCACCTTCAAAGTGTAAAATGTTGTTACAAGACTGAGTTGGTCCTCCCCCTGTGAAAACCATAGAGGAATTAGTTTAATCAGCATCGTCTGTAAACTTCTCGCTGGCATCATACTCCACCGACTGTCTGCCGCCTCTGAAGGGTGCACGCGTGAGAACCAGGCTGGTTTTAGACCCGGTCGAGGTTGTATTGGCCACATCTTCACTCTCGGTTGAATTCTGGAGCATCGACATTCCTTTCGTAGACCCACCATTTCTGTTTTTTTTCGATTTGAAAGCGGCTTTCGACTCAGTCGATCGTTCTAAACTCTGGCGCTGCTTTTCCCTGAAGGATGTATCCGAGACCTTTATTTCAATCTTACAATCGCTTTATACTAATAACCAAAGTCGATTGCGGGCTTACGGTTGTTTTCCACCCGAGTTCACCGCAGAAAATGGTGTTCGTCAGGGTTGCCTTCTCTCTCTCTCTCTCCTTTTCTATTCAACTTTGTCATAGATTTGATTATGGAAACAGCCCTATCCTCGTGCGAGGAAAGTGGCATCGATTTACTCCCTGGAGGCAGACACTGTCTGCTAGAGTATGCAGACGACATTGTGCTACTAAGTGAAGATTCAGGTAAGTTGCAAGCTTTTTTGGACAGCTTGAATTCCAGTGTAGCCATGTTCGGTATGCTTTTTGTACCTTCAAAGTGCAAAATGTTACGACAAGACTGGGTCGGTTCAGCACTGAGCCTCACTCTAACTGGAGAAGTAATAGAGTAAGTGGATAAGTTTTGTTATTTAGGCAGCTACATCTCACCCGGTGGACGCATCACGGATGAAGTGTCAGCTCGCACACAGAAGGCTTGATTGGCATTCACTAACTTGAGATATCTGTGGCGCCACCGAGAGATCCGGCTGTCCGTGAAGGGTCGAGTGTATGTTGGCGTTGGTGAGTTCTCCGAGCTGGAAGTGTTGTTCGCAGGCGTTTCGTAGCCAAGCTAGGCAACATCATCAGTGCATGCTATGATAGTTCGACCAGTTCTGCTATAGGACGCAGAAACTTAACCATTAGGAAAACAGGATGAAGATGGACTATCGGCTTTCGAACATCGTTGTCTACGCAGCATCACACGAATCTGGTGGGGCAACCGGACGAGCAATACTGGGGTTAAGCGTGGAGTTTAAGTTACCCGCTGTCCCCCCATTGGAACAAGTGGTCGACCTTCATAGATTACGTTGGTTGTGACATTTGTACATGTTTAATTCTTTCATCGTTACTATTGACTGTTGTCAGTAGTCAAACTCTTTTCGGACAATCTTCCTTGTTTCCTGTTTTCCTATTGGTTGACTGTAACCTGTCTTTGTCTTGGCGGCCGGCCATCTTTATTCGCTCACTGTTTTGCTCTGATCACCACGCATCAGTGCTCTTTGTTGGATTGCTGGTCAAACTACTTCGAATGTACGTTTCTTTTCGATTTCAACCTTGTTGTTTACCATACCGTATGTTAACATATTGTTTTATCATTACAGAACCACCAAAGACAAGAATCCGAGACGTTCTGACTATCTTCTGATATTGATATTGACCTCGGGGTGCGTAAATTCGACCAAAGGCTAGCAAAGTACCGTACGTACGAATCGCGTAACAACAAAGTTATTCGAACTTGACCAAATCATGGAAAATAATCCGCCGGAATTATCATTCTACTCCAGAGCGGTGTCTGAAAATTCGGCTGATCGTGTTGACCTCGAGCGACAGCGCCTGGATATCGAACTCGCAAAATTACGATTGTTAGAACTTGATAAACGTATCGAGCTAAAGAAATTGCAACTGCTGCAAAAGGAAGATGACGGATCAAAGGAAGTCAAGACACCTCGGCTAATACGACCCGTCCATGAATACCAGGTGGAGTTACCGAAACGTGAGATCCTTAGATTCGATGGCAATCCGAAATCGTACTGCGCATTTATCAAGCAGTTCCATTCCATGGTTGAAAAGAAGACCAAGGATAACGAAACCTGCCTCACCTACCTGATTCAGTATTGCGAAGGAGAAGCAAAGGAAGCAATTCAGCATTGCATGATCTTGGAACCGGACGATGGACTCATGCGAGCCAAAGAAATACTAAAGAAGAGGTTTGGTCAAAGTTATATGATCGCCCGAGCTTTCATCGACGGTTTGATTGTCCGACGACACCAGGGCATTAACCACCCTCAGCCAACAGATGCAAGCTTGCGTTGCTACCCCGAGGCAACTAGGATATCCGTCAGACTTGAATTCTAGTCGAACCATGGAGGCGATTGTCATGAGGCTGCCTTCTCAGTTGCGCTTCAAATGGGCCGAAGTCGCCACCACCTTGATACGCCATGGAAAAGAACCTCAGTTTGACGAACTGGCGTCGTTTATTGAAGAGAGGGTTGACATTATGAGCAGCTGTTACTCCTAAGGGCGACCGCAGTACCAGGCAAGTATCCACGTCCGGAGGCACGCAATTTGGAGTACGTCGAAACATCCACACTGCAATGAGCATGGAAATGAATGGTAACGATAAGTCAACCACAAACGGGTGCACGATCTGTGGGGACGACCATTATCCAGACCAATGTCCAGTGTTCTCCAAATTTGATGTGAGGAAACGACAGACATTAGTCCAGGAGCGAATTCTGTGTCGTCGATGCCTGAAAGCCAACCACATAGTGAGGAACTGCAAGTGGACTCGTGGGTGTACCGTGGAAGGATGCGGTGGACAACACCACACCCTTCTGCACTTGGATGGTAATACATCCAATAGTCCGTTGAGAATTAATAACAATTACGTAGCGGGTAACGACAACATACCGGCTGTGGCTCTTGCCGTGGTTCCTGTGACAATCCTTTATGGCGGACGTAAGGCGCGGACTTTGGCTCTGTTGGACAGTGGTTCTGACTCCTCACTCATACTTGACGACTTGGTGACATCTCTCCAAATGAAAGGTAAACTCAAGGATATCATTATATCCACTCTGAATAAAGAAACGACGATCCAAACGACCGAGGTGGAATTCGAGATCGAGCCCGACGGTAAGGACAACACTATACGCGTTAAAAGAGCATACTCGGTCAAGTCTTTGCCTAGTTTAAACCGCGTCACGACGATCGACGGACTGAAATCACTTTGGCCTCACCTCAACTCGATTAAATTCGCTTCACGTGAGAACATGGAGATAGGAATTTTGTTCGGGTGCGACGTGCCACAAGCACACTGGGTGCTTGACCAACGCCTAGGGGACCCAAACAAGCCATATGCTGTACGTACTATACTTGGTTGGGCAATAATAGGTCCCGTTCCCGCTAACCCTAGGAGGAGGAAAGGTGTTTACTGCTTGAAGATCTCGCAGATAGAGAAAGTTTTGGAGAGGTTTTACCAACAAGACGCTATCGACCAAGGTCCTACGAAACATAAGGATTTCTCTACAGACGATCGCATGGCGTTGAACATCATGGAGTGGACTCTTACCTTTCAGGGCGACCACTACATGTTGGCGTTGTCATGGCGAACCAATGTCCCCCTGTTCAAAACAATAAAGCGCATACCTTTCAACGCCTCAGCATGCTGCGTAAACG